GCATGGCTTGTTGGTGATCATTACTCCCAGGCACCTGTCACTCTGGACAACCTCCGCCTCAACACCATTGATGCAGACAGGAGCATGAGGTTGTAGAGAGTGCTATATATAAAATCAGTTGGGGGAATGGGTTCTAGAGGAGATACATCGAATAACAAAGCAAAATGATATACCAACACAGCAGAGCAGCAATTTGCTTAAACATACCTGAAATGAGGGACAAACAGCAGGTGTACACATATACAATTATGTACAGTTACAGTTGTAACAATACACACTTGTTTTGAAACTTCAAACTCCTAGTAATACAAGCCAAAACCCACTTGTCTTCTTGAATGTTTGCTGCATTAGACGGTCTCTCATCTGCTCCACACTCCCCACTAGCTTCACATCCCTGGCACCTTTCTCTGCAACCGCAGGAAATGCTACACCTTTCCCTATACCTACACCCCTCACCTCCATCTAAGGCACCAAACAAACCTTTCACATCAGACAGAGGTTCACCTGCACATCCATCAACGTGGTCTGTTGCATCCGCTGCTCTCAATGTGGCCTCCTCTACATCGGTGAGACCAAGCGGAGGCTCAGAGACCACTTTGTAGAGCACCTGCACTCTGTTCGGGACAAGCGACAACACCTTCCAGTCACAAACTATTTCAACTCACCCTCTCACTACCTGGGGGGCATGTCCATACTGGTCTTCCTCCAGGGTCACAATATTCTGTCATATTCTGTCTTGGAAACCTACAGCCCAATGGCCTAAATGTTGACTTTACCAGTTTCAAAATCTTCCCAGCTCCGGCCTCATCCCAAGACCAACCCTCCCCCTCATCCCTGCCTCCTTGACCTGACACAACTTGTCCATCTTCTCCCCCACCTATCTGCCCTTCCCAGCTCACTGACAAATCCCCACCACTCCCTACCTGCACTCAGTTATCACCATCCCACCTACCTTCCCCAGCCACACCCCTCCTCTCTCAATATATTTCTGAGCTCCCTTCCCCCTCCCCCATTTCTGAAGAAAGGTCCCGACTCAAAACGTCAACTTTCCTGCCCCCCTGATGCTCCCTGGCCTGCTGTGTTCCTCCAGCTCCAGAAAGGAATCCTCCAGTTGTCTTGCAGTATTCACTCATGGAATGTGAGCATCGCTGGCTGGCCAGCATTTTATTGCCCGTCCCTAGGTGCCTTTGAGAAGGTGACGGGAACCTGCCTTCTTGAGCAGTCCACATTAACCTGAGAGATAACAAGGTGTAGAGCTGGATGAACACAGCAGGCCAAGCAGCATCAGAGGAGCAGGAAGGCTGACGTTTCAGGCCTAGACCCTTCTTCAGAAAACCTGAGTTCCTACAGTTCCTGCAGGTCCTGCTGGTTCTGACTCTCTGGTCTTCAGAAATATCCATCGTGCATTTACCCATGTCGTCCTGTTAGAATTCTGTGGGTTTCTTTCAGATTGCCCCTCATTCTTCTAAATTCCAGTGAAAATAGTCCTAACCAATCTGGTGTTTCTTCCTGGAATGGCAGTCCTGCAGTCTGGTAAATCCCTACATAGCCAGAATATCCTTCCCTCAAATAACGAGCCAAAACACTGCACCAAATTCCAGATGTAGTCTCACCAAGACCCTGTATGATTGCAACAAGACATCCCTATTGCTGTACTCTAGTCCTCCCACTATGAAGATCAACATCCGAATTGCCTTCTTCACTGCATGCCGCACCTGCATGCTTGTATTCAACATAACTTTATCAAATGGCCCTTAGCCGTCTTTGGTATATTTCAAGCATTCCAACATCCCTGCTGTCTCCAGACCATTAACATTTGTTAGAACATTAACTTGCATTTAGATGTGCACCTGCGATCTCGAGGCATACAAGGCAATTGGCCAAATGCTGGAAAATAGGGCGAGAAAAGTTCAGTGCTTGTTTTTGACTGGCACAGACTTGATGGTCTAAATGACCCTTTTCTATCCCGTAGATCTCTGTGACTCTCTACATTACCCATCCTTAGCACCATTTGGACAGCTATATTTGCAACCTCACAACAACCTGATATCCTTCCCAAAGTGTAGTGCCCAGAATGAACTTCTCTACAATCTGTTTACTGGTATTTATTAAAAATCCAAATAATATTAGGAAAACTGCATTTGGTACTAATTATTGGTGAACAGCATGTGTCTGAGCAAAATTGCAATTTTCCTCCATTGTGGTAACTTGCTATTTCTGCTTTCTCTATGCTAACATATGATTCAGCATTCTGTTATACCAATCCGTTTTTGCTAAGCTTGTAGAACTTGGGCTTGACAAGGTTTAAAATCCCTATGGTCCGGAAGCACGCCCTTCAGCCCAATGGGTCCACATCAACCCTCTGAAGTGCATCCCACCCAGACCCACACCCCTATCCTAGCCTTGTAACCCCACATTTCCCATGGCTAATCCACATAGCCTACACATCCCAGGACAAGATGGGCAATTTTTCTGGCAAGATGGCAGCAAAGTAGAACGCTTCTGCCAGAGCGCTTCGGCTCCTATTCTTTTTCTTTCTTATTCCTTTTCTGTTCTCTTTTTTTCTTCTTCTCTCCCCTCAGCACCTGAGGCGAATAATCAGGAAGTGGCAGGTGCAAGCAGCAAGGCCCCTGAGCAGTGAGACCTGGTACAGTGAATGGGACATGAAGCCCATAGCTGCGCACAGGTGGCGGACAGTGGCATAGGGGAGGCAGTCCTGGAACTTATCTTGGAGCAGCTGACTGCTGGTATGGAGTGGTTTGGAGCTTTATGTGGAGTGGGAACGGCTGTTGGCCTGCAGTCTGGTGCGAACGGTCAGGCCATGTGCAGAGGGCCCTGCACTGAGATGGTAAGCTGTAATGTTTATTTGAAATGTCTCATCTTACCGTAATGTCAACCCTTTAATGACATCCTATTTTCAACTTATTTTTCAACTCTGTAAGTAATGCAACTACTTTTCTTCCACTGCTGTATCCAAAAATTGAACTTAGGTACTTGCACCTAAGATTTCACCATAAGAAGGAAGACATTGTGCAGGCTTTTCACCATACTCCTGCAACGGAGTACATGCGACAAAAAAAGGATATTATATTGTATTTAGCATGGCCAATCCACCTAACTTCGACAGCACTGGACTGTGGGAGGAAACTGGAGCACCTAAAGGAAACTCACGCAGGCATGGTGAGAATGTGCAAACTCCACACAGACAGTCCCTCAAGGGTGGAATATAACCTGGGTCCCTGGCTCTGTGAGGCAGCAGTGCTAACCAATGAGCCACCATTGTGCCATCCTCCCATCGATCTCTCCACTTGACATTAGTTCACAGTATACTACATTTCACTTTCACAGTCTCACTAAGCTACACCCAAATCTGCTTTAATTTCAAAGAAGCCAAAAAGTAATCTTCACATCTTGTAGTTGGAATGTTCTAAAGTCCACTGAGCAGCCTCACCAACTTATCCTAATGTTAGTTTTACCCTTTTTAAAACTTGTGAACTGAAATAAGAAAGAATTGTTTTGAAACTAGTGTTTTAAAAGTTGGAGACAGAGAGAGAAATGTTCAGTTCTTTCCCAGCTCTGAGTATGAAACAATCTAAATCCAATAGGACTTCCAGGGCAATTCCTTCCCAACTCTACATCATTGTGCTGCCACCCCAAGTGGGACAGGATGTATTCAGGGATGGTGATGGCGGTGTTTGTAAGGTAGGATACTATAATGGCTAAGTCAGGCTGTTGCTTAACTGGTGAGTGAGCCATTGTACCCAGTTCTGGCTCTAGTGCTCCAATTGCCTTTGATTGAGTGACTTTTGCCGGAAGCTAACAACTCAGATACATTATTTCTTCTGTTGTGCATTGAAGCCTGTCTGCAGCTGAGTTATTACCAGTGAGTCTAGGGGAAACACTTTATGTTCACATTAATGCGTGACTAAATGGCCACAGTTAGCAGCAGCGGGCAGGTGGGGGAATGTTGACCAGGAGGCTTTTACCCCTGGAATTTAATCCTTATGGAGGCAGCAATGCGGAGAGGTTCAGACACAAACATTATCCACTCTCACTGAATGCTCTTCCCAGTTCCAAGCTGAAAGCAGAAGAGATCTTCCCAATTGCCGACAATCAGTGAAAAGAAGAGGAGCACAATCCATCCCCTGGCGATGACTCAGCTACTGGAGCAGGAGCATCAGCTGCAGCAGTAGGTTCTGGATCTGGAGTAGGAGTGGGAGCAGAAACTGGATCGGGGTAGGAGTGGGAGTTAGAATAGGAGGAGCTGGAATTGGAGCAGGAGCTGAAATGGGAGCAGAAACTGGATCCTGAGTCAGAGTGGGATCTGGAATCTCCCAGGCTACAAACTGAGTGTAGTGTTCAGTCTGTAAACCAAGTGTCAAGTGATTAGAACCATGTGGATCCATTGACTATGAGATCCTTGACTGGGGCTGTTAACCTGGGCCAAGGAAGCCCTGGCTGACAGATATAAACAGAGAGTCAGAATCTCCTCAACTGAGGAACTGACTCCGGGCTGGCTGACAAGAGCCAGTGTACTGTGGGCATGTAAATAAAGGGGGACTTGGTTAATGGGATAGTTGCCTCTGTGCAGTTATTTCAGATGGATTCTTGGGAAACATTGTCAAGCCCAAGATCAACAAGCTCAGCTAAAAGGGATTGGTTTTACAGAATGCTGAGTGATATGTAAGTCTAGTGAACGCAGAAGTAGCAAGTTACCATAATGGAGGGCACTTACAGTTTTGCTGAGACACATGCTGTTCACCAGAGCAAGAACTGCATGGTTGTGTCCAGGTATTGTTTGCCTGGAGGAAACAACAGGAAAAACACGAGGAGGTAATTCCACCTTCTGAGAAAGGCGGGAACGAAAGAAGAATAAGAGACAAAAGAGAAGTGAAAGACTGAAAGTTGCAAGAAGTGTGCCCTGCTGTTTAGTCAAGAGAGGAAATGGGTAGCATGCAATTTCCATAAATCAGCACCTGGGTTTATTCTATATGTGGTCGTTAGCAGCCGAGTTTGTTCCGATTTTCTCTCCACAAATTAACTTCTGCTTTCACATCAGATCCTGTTAATCATAAAAGTTGCAACCTTCCGCTATGATCAGTATCCAACAACTTAACGGTGAATTTAGGTTATTTTAGTTGCATTAGTCAGTTGTCCGTGTCTTATGATACAATGCTGTGGAAGATGGAAAATTTGGAGAAACTCAAAGAGACTTTTCCGAATGCCAAATCAGGACTATTTCAGTTTTTGGGCAATCTCTTACTGTTTCTAATCCTTTATGGAGTGGAACATCAACTGGAGAATGAGATCCAATGTCCATGTGATTTGCGATCGAACACCCGCTACATCTCAGTAACGTTTGTTTTCCCTGCACTGTCGCTATTCATTATTGGTCTATTGGTACAAAGTTATTTACAGAATTGGTGCCATTTATGGTGGAGCAAGCAGAAGGTACAGCACTGTCCACCCCCGTCTTTATTCATCCTATTGACTGTGGTTAAAGCATCAATTCCAGCAATAATATGGATTGTTCTACTCTTCCTGAATGGCAACTATTACACCTGTTCCAAGTTAATCGGGAAAAACGAAACTGCGTGCGGGTGGAAATGCAATGACAATGCCTGTGAAATTCTACAAAACCTCTGCATTGAATCACAAGTAAGCAGTTCATTTAAATGGTCGCTGTAGTGTGTAAAGAGAAACTGTTCTACATTTATTTTGAGTATGGCTGAACTGTGGCTAAACTCCATATAACTACCTACTGGTCAGAGATTGGTTAGTTCAGTTGGCTGGGCACCTAGCTTGTATGGCAGAGTTGTACCAACAGTGTGGGTTCAATTCCTGTACTGGCTGAGGTTAATGTGAAGGATTCTCCTTCTCAATCTCTCTCCTCACCTGACCTCTGGTAACTCTCAGATTATCTCTGTTTAATGAGAAATTATGGCGATGGTGACTTTTGTTTTTATACAGCTACCTTTTCCTCAAACCTCAAAATACCTTTTGCATCCCCCAATCTTATATTAACAGCAGATTGAAATTGTAACAAGACTTCCAAAGTTTTTGTGTATCAATATTTTGTAACATCAGCTCACCTTTGAGATTTCTAGTTCGAAGTTTAAGACCACGTACCCCTAGACAGCCCACCCAGTCGGAATAGTTTATCATCATTTGCTTTCAGTTCCTCATGCAGTTCGAACGAACATATAACCTCCCAGATTCCAGGTAAATAAACCAATGCCTCCCTTGTGCCTTAGAATTTGCTCTCCCTCCCAAGGCAAAGGACTGCAGATTAACTCCATTAAGGTAACAACTGAATACTTCACCTGAGATCCTTCTCAATTGAAAATCTGAATTGAGCTGGGGTAAACTGGAGGCTGTTGACAGTACGAAATACACTTGAAGGTGGTATTTCAAAAGTGGAGAGATACATAGTAGCCCAGATATTGGGGAAGATGGTCAAAAACTCACTGACAGTGGAGGAAACGTGAGGTGCAGCATACCAAGGTTGGAAGAAGAGAAAATCCAGCAGATATTAGGCTTGAGGGGACTATTGGAGTAAGAAAGGGAGGGACACAAAACAGGCATAAATATCGAGGAGACAGCAGTTCATTCTGCGCACTAACTTTGGGAAGGATATCAGCTTGTGGTGAGGTTGCAAATATATCTATCTGAATGGTACCAAGGATGGACAACGTAGAGAGTCATAGAGATCTACAGGACAGAAAATGGCCATTTAGGCCATCAAGTCTGTGCCAGTCAAAAACAAGCACTGAACTATTCTAATCCTATTGTCCAGCATCTGGCCTTATCTTGTACACCTTGCAATGGCAAGTAGACATCTGAATGCAAGTTAATGTTCTACTAACGAATGTTAGTAGTCTGGAGACAGCAGGTATGTTGGGAATGCTTGTTATATAGTAAAGAAGGCTAAGGGACATTCGATAAAGTTACGTTGAATATAAGCATGTAGGTGCAGCATGCAGTGAAGATGGCAAATGAGATGTGATCTTCATAGCAGGAGAACTGGAGTACAGCAATAGGGATGTCTTGCTGCAATCATCCAGGGTCTTGGTAAGATGACATCTTGAGTATGCTACAGTGTTTTGGTCTCCTTATCAGAGAGAAGGATATTCTGGCTATGTAGGGATTTACCAGACTGCAGGACTGCCATTCCAGGAAGAAAGACTGGATCGGTTAGGACTATATTCACTGGAGTTTAGAAGAATGAGGGGCAACCTGAAAGAAACCCATAGAATTCTAACAGGACTAGACGGATAAATGCAGGAAGGATATTTCTGATGACCAGAGAGTCAGAACCAACGGTGACAGCCTAAGTATATGAGGTAGGCCATTAAGGACTGAGAATGATGAGCCTGTGGAATTCTTTGCACAGAAAGTGATTGAAGCAAAAATATTGAATGTTTTCCAGAATAAGTTTGTACAGTTCTTAGGGCTAAAGGAATCAAAAGGCTTGCGGGAAAAAAATAGGAACAGGCTACTGAGTTGGCTAATCAGCCATGATCATATTGAACAGTAGAGCGGTCTTGAACGAATGGATGGTCTGCACTTGCTCCTAGTTTCTGTTTATTTTCAAAATCATGAAGGAGAAATAAATATGGAGAAATGTTTCTACCTTCAGAAGGATCAGGAAACAGTGGAAATAAGTTGAAGATGCTTGTCAGAAAAACCAGACGTGACACTTGAGAAAAAATGTGATAGGTTGTTATAATCCAGAATGCATTCCCTAAAAGAGTGGGAGAAGCAGAGAATAATGATACAGCAGAGGAGTGGGACTATTTCCAAAACAGACAGGATTCTTCTTGTGTAGCATCATTCTATGCATTGTTGTCTAATTGAATTTCTTATATCTCCACCCATACCTTAACAGTTCATCGGCGGCCTTGCATTAGTCATATTATTGACTGTGTTGGCAATCCTCTACTTTCTTCAATGTTATTCCGGCTGGAAGAGAAAATACATGTTTAAATATGACTGCAAATGTGAAAAAGAGGAAGCGAAGTTGCCGAAGGCAAAATTGAAAACCAAAGCAACTGAAGCTGCAAAAGAAATGTGCAAAAATACAATGTTAAAGCTATCCCCAAAAGATGTTCAATTTCAACCAGGACCCAGTCATGAAAACATCAAAACGAATTCCCAGGTGAGTGTTATGCAATTTCAGGAAATATTATGGCGAGCAGGGTGCAGAGAATGACATGTGATGAATGCAGCTAAATTTAGCTTTCAAAGCTGAAGGTAGAAGTTCATCTTGGATGGATCTGCAAGGAATGCCTTTAAATTGCACTCTTGGTATTCAATTCTGTTGGAAGGTGAAATAGAATAGAATATTCGGTGTCTCTCTAAATGTTCTCTAAAGTTATTATGTTAAATCTGGTAGGATGAACAGCGAGATTGAGGACTTGCTGAGAACAAATATCAGAAGGTTTCTTCTCAAGGCACCAAATATATTAAGATAAAAACAAGATGTTGGAAATGCAAAATTAAAAAAAAAATGTGAGAAGTGCAGCATCTGAGGATAGGGTTCCAAGGAAGAGTCATATCAGACTCAGACATTAACTCTGTTTCTCTCTTCACAAGTACTGCTAGTCCTGCTGAGTTTCTCGAGGAGTTTTCTATTAAACATGTTACAACTCCATCACAGACTGTAATGTCATCTGAGCTCATTGATCAGCAGAAGACTCGGTCACAAAGTACAGTGGTGTTTATTTGAGATGGAGCTGGCACCTTTTTTGAAGAATATCACATGGGGCAAATGCATTTTGACATAATCATTTAACTCCTCCCATGATGCATGCTTTCCTGGGCACAGAGATATGAATTATTACCACAAGTATTAGCAGGAGTCAACACTATTCCACTTCTTAACAATGATGCACAAGATGAATTTTGACCTCATTAGTTTTCCATTTTGACAAAAAAAGGCATCAAATGATCAAATGGCACAGTCACAAAACTAATTGCTGATTTATTAACAACGATTCCAATCTGAAGTTGGAAGTCTGAACAAACACCAAACCATGAATACTAGTTTGCACGCACTATTACTCGACTGAGTTTGGTGACCGGGTATGCTTCCAGAAATTCATTGCTGATTAGGTGATGGATTCAGTACTGTAGCTTCTCTTTCACCTCTTCCACGTACCTTCTTAATGTAAGCCACACAGAGCTGAGCCTCTGCCTCTCAGGTAAATTTGCCAGAGTTGCATTGGAGAACAAGAGACAACTGGTGGTGAGTTTAACCTGAAGGTGACCATGCCTCAGGCAAAGGCAAGGTTGTGAAGTAGAGTCCTTCAAGGTAACCTCATCCAGTGCAGGAACTGAACCCACGTTGTTGGCATCACTCTGTATCAGAAGCCAGTTTCTCAGCTAACAGACAATTCAAAAACCAGGGCTCATAGATTCAAGCTAAGTGGCGGAACGAATAGAGGGGATGTGAGGAAAAACTTTTTTTTATGCAGAAGATTTCGGGTATCTGGCATTGGCTGCTTGAGTTGATAGTAGGCCCTCAACTCTTTTAAAACGTACCTGGATCTGCAGCTTATGTATTGTAAGCTGTGGAGCTATGGGCTACGTGCAGGAAGATTGAATTAGAAAGGACATCTGGGTGTCTGGGTAGGCCGAAAGCCCCCTTCTGTGCAATATCATTTCTGCGGTTCTCACTGAGCTGGCCAATCCCACATGACCATACAGCAGGCAGCTACTTCCCGTATCAAAATCCCCTAAAATACCAGACTGCTTCATATCATTTTTCATTCTCAATCAGCAGACAATGGACTAAAATCTGATTACTAATTGCTTAATATTGCACACTTATAGCAAATGACATGAAGGGAGCCTGGTATTGGAGGATCAGAGACTCCAGCAGCCCTAATTTCAGGGGTTCCCTGGTCTCCTTGCTCAGGACTGTTAGAGCTCATATATTAATGCATGTGACTGCACTTTTCCACCAGGTTTCTCAGGATTCCATCACAGCACACTAGTCAGCAAACAGAGAGGATCATACCAAGAGGAACGTTAAATCACAGCTGTTTTTGGAGGTGGAACTGAATGCAATAGACCTCTCGTATGGAATGGAATTGAAAATATGCATATTAACTTTTACTAATTGTTAATTACTAGTGTGTTTGTATAAATACCTTTCTTTAACCCTGGAGATCACCATATTCATGTGACATCTGACGTCAGATTAAATAAATAAAGGCTTTTCGGCAAATAAAACACCGTGTCAGTGAGTAGTTGGGACTGAATGGGTTCTGATTGCGGTAAGAAAACCAACAGATACAAAACAAAATGGCAGACTGTCATTAACACTTCACTCTGCTGGATATCAACAGCCAGATGAGGCACACCCACTTTGAATTTTCCAGCATCTGCTCCAATCTACATGAAAGGAAAGATGAGAGGGAATTGGCAAATCATTCAGGCATGGTGGAGGAAGTATGAGATTGCCCCACAGTTAAGCAAGGAATCTGAACAAAAAAGGGCAGCAAATTTGTTCTTAGTGAGGTGAAAAAATGCTACAAACTGTATTGTATCAGCGGCTTAATGGAGAAGGAGCAAAGTCAGATTTATGGAGTTTTTGAAGTCTAGAAGAACTATCTACTATTGTCACTCATGAATATTATGTGTTCCAAATAATTCACTGCAGATTTACCCTTTAATTGCCTCTGTTTCACTTAAATTTATTGCAAATTCAATTTGAATTCTGTTCAATGCCCCTTTTTGAACTTGCATTTTATTTTGCCATTTTGCTTTTACTTTATATCTCCCTCTGTATTAGGTCATCTGCTGCAGCCCTTTGTCATGTTCTTGCATTTGGTGTTCAACTTTGCAATGTTTCTCACCACACTCCTGTTACTTTTAAGTTCACACTTAATTTTAATTTGGACTGCAGTGGTTCAAGAAGGCAGCTCACCATCACCTTCTCAAGGGCAACTGGGGATGAGCAATAAAATGCTGGCTAGCCAGCGATGCTCACATCCCACGAGTGAATACAACAAACCCACTGGAGCTTTCCTTTGCTGTATTTTTCCTTTATTTTAATTCCCTTTGTCCCTGCATTCTAATGATTCTTGCATAATACTTTTGTTTATTTTTCATTTTGTAGGAACCTCCAAACCAGCATTTTGTTACACTGAAGTTGCAATGTATCGACAATTGCACTGGACATTTTATCCACTTGTACCAGGACAGTGAGTCTGTAAGAATGGAGTAATAGAGGATCTGTGTTTAGTAGCTCAGTTGTACAGTTCTAATTCTAAGAATCCTCTATCTAACTGTTTCAGACCCAGGAATTTCACACCAGTGGCTGAGTAAAAACAGTATATCTGAGTTATGCACATCTCCATCTCTGGACACATTCATGTTGCCATATTGGACATATTACTAAGTCAGTTTCCAATCATCCCAACCCCAAACTACAGCCTTTGTTTACCCAACATAGTCATCTTCATGGCATGCAGCTAATTGGATGTTAATGAATGCTTTATTACACAATCGGACAATTTGTGACTGTTAGTCAAATACACTTTGAATTATGAAGTAGGGTCACTGGACTTAAAACATTGACTGTCTCCATAAATGTTGCCAGACATGCTGAATTTCTTCAGCAATTTCTGCTTTCATTACAGATTTTGTCTAATCTCCTGAGAGATTTTATCCAACTATTTGCCCACAGTCGTGACCTGGAGATTGATGGTATCCTGGATCTTGTTTGTATTACTGCAAACTCCAGTGTAACCCTGCAGGGTTGGAAACCACTAACGCCATCTGTAAACGCTCTGAGTTCAACCAATGCTGAGCAATTTGCAATTGGCCGGTCAGTCATAGGAATTATGAGATGTATTTGTCTCTGAACTTTAACCCAGAGGAGTGACAGCGAAATTTTGGTTGGAATATTGGAAATAGTCTGTCAATCAAAATATGGGTGAAAGTATATAGATGGGCCATGTTGTCCACATTATAAAAGGATAACTGTCCAGCTGCACAGTCCAAGAATATCCCGATTCTACGAGGCTTCAACCTCAGGCTGAGAGCAGACAATGCTGGAGAGGTGATTTCAAAGTAGTCACTTCCAAAAACAGTCACAGGGTCCAGTATTCTGTCTCAAGCCTCTGTATTATATTTCCTTTTCTGTTAGCAGACCCTTGGGCCATGAGTCTCAGAATGGTCTGGTCCTCAGACAGGATGACCTAGGCGTGGGCTGTCTGTAGATCCAGAGTCAGAAAGACTGGAGCTGTGGAAGGAGGGAAATTTAGATAACTCACTTAATGGTTTACATTCTTGCTGTGATATGACAGTACAGCAACTGGAGCAGGCAGTGGCTGAAAGGTAATATTCCAGATCACTTGGTTAATTTTCTGGAATCATGAGTTTAAATCCCACCACGACAAATGGTAAAATTATTAATTCAATCAAAGAAAAATCTGGAATTAGAAGAAAGTTGATCTAATGATATCCACGTAATCATTGTGGATTGTTGTAAACAAAAAGCCATCTGGTTCACAAATGCCCTTTAAGGAAGGAAATTTGCCATCCTCACCTTGTCTATCTGACATGTGAATCCACATCCACAGCAATGTGGTTGGCTGTTAACTGCTCACTGAACTCACACCAGCAAAACATTGAGGTCATGGAGTAATTAGGGATGAGCAATAAATACTGGTCCAGTTAGTGATGCCTTTATTTTAATAAAGGCTACTCATCCCCTTTAATCTCTGCTAGTGCTTATGCTCCCCATAGGCCTCCTCACAGCCATCTTCTACACATGCTGTAATTATGTCCCCCACTTTCTTTATCTCTGCTGTGTTTGTTCAGCTTCCCCTTAAATCTTTATTCATTTCAGTTTCTTCATTTCAAAGAATAATAGAATCGTTAACCGTGTGGAAGCAGGTCATTCAGCCCATTGAGTCCATACTGCACCCTCTGAAGAGCATCCCACCCAGACCCACCACCTTACCCTATCCCTGCAACCCTACATTTACCACGGATAACCCACCTAGGCTGCACATCCCTGGGTAGTGCGGGTGATTTAGCGTGGCCAGCACACCTAACCTGCGCATATTTGGACTGTGGGAGGAAACTCATACGTCCACTGGAATAATGTGCAAACTCCACACAGACAGATGCCCAAAGGTGGAATCAATACCAGAAGACAGGAAAAAGATTTTAAAAAGACATGGGGGCAACTTTTTACACGGAGCATGGATCATATGTGGAATGAAGTTCCAGAGGAAGTAATGCATGTGAATGCAGTTATAACATTTAAGAGATTTTTAGAAGTACAAGAAGAAGAAATGTTTGGAAGGATATGGCCAAGCACAGGCATGTGAGACTAGTTTAGTTTGGCATTATGGTTGACAACAACTGGTTAGACTGCAGGGTCTGTTTCCATGCACTCTATTTCTATGACTATGACTCTACGTTCTTGCTGCAACATTGCTATGATGGCTGCCATTGTGGCCCAAGGTGTAACATTGCAAAGGGTAAAATACTGAATTGGAAACATGCCATGACTGTTCTTAGAGGCTGGCACATTTTGTACGCCAATATGTGTGGATGTGGGGCATGTGTGACCAGTGGCCTGAGCTGCTTTAGTGTGGTTACCAAGATAGAGGCTGTTTAAAGGCAGTGGTCAGCTGAAGTTGGCAGCTCTCACGCTGAATCCCTTTTCAAGAATTCTTGATATTCAATTTGCTTATGGCTTATTATAAGATAGAAAGTTACACATGAATGAAGCAAGATATGCAGTTAAAAAGGTAATTCGACAAATATTATGAAGTTGTGTAAAGTATTTGTGAATTAGCAGGCAGGAAGCTAGAATTTATAAAATAAAAAATGATCAGGGAGTGCAGTGCATGGTTCCTTTAAGAGATAGAGTGCTTTTCTAAGATTAGAGATTTATACAGAAAAAAATGTATGAGAAAATGCTGAAGACGTACAGGCAGTTCTTAAATGGAAACATGTATCAATTGGCTGTGTGAATGGAAACCTGAGGTGTGTTTTGATGGTTTGTTAATGAGCTGAAATCAGCCAATTAATTTAAACCAAGCACTTAGTGATTGAAAGCCAATTGAATTTAAATCAATTCTTCGACTAATGCTATTGTAAGAAAATTGGTATGTCATCCAAGGTATATAAGGAGAAGATTTTTGAAAATCCATGTGACAGCAAACCCCATCTGAAAAATAAGTATCTAGTTCTCACAAGAAATTGCTAAGCTCTCTAAGAAATCCATAAAAGGTAGCACTGCACTTCCAGCGAAGTGTCTTCACAGAGAAAACATTCCTGACAGCAGAATCAGCAGAAGAAAGGTGTTTATGACTTGAGAACAGCAGAAGAAACATGTTTATGACTGGAGACTGTGGAGAAGGCAGAGCATTCTGGAACACAGATTGAGTGTGGACTTTGAGAGATTAAGTTTTAATTTATTTTTTTCTTACTACTTGGGTTATGTAAGTGGGACTTATGTTTATTGCAAGTTTGTTCAGTTAGGGAACAGTTAGGAGTTTTGTGGAGGGGGGGAAATTGTTCGGTTTGTTAGTAGTTCTGTTAATTTTTTCACTGTTCGGGTTAAATATTTAAATTGGTACTTGTTACTTATAAAGTGAATATCAGGGATTTCTTTCATTTAACCTTCCCTTCTCTGTAACACAAGCAACAACCACATTTAACAGTCAAATTGCAGCTGTCTAATGAGAATCTCACTGCAACCAGAACTGAGTAAAAAGATGCAACAAATTGTTTCTGATGTCTACATAGTTCTTGCTCAATCTCTCATATGATTCTACCACATTTATCATCTATAAGACTCCATCCATCATGTCCAATATTAGACTTAACTCAAATAAAAAAACTGAAAGAACTGTGCATGGTGGAAATCAGAAACAAAATAAGGAATTGCTGGAAAATCTCAGCTAGTCTGGCAGCATCTGGGGAGGGAAATCAAAATTAACATTTTGGATCCAGTGACCCTTCTTGAGGACTGTTATGGAGAAATGCCCAAAAAATTGCAGCAATGCAGGATCTGGATGTTCTTAAGTGAACAACATAAGTTAGCATCAGCTGCAGCAAACAACCAAGAAGACAAGTGGGTTTTGGCTTGTATTACTAGGAGGTTGAAGTTTAAAAACAAGTGTGTGTTGTTACAACTGTAACTGTACATAATTGTATATGTGTACACCTGCTGTTTGTCCCTCATTTCAGGTATGTTTGAGTAA